TCAGCGACGTTCGCCAAGGGTTTGTCAGGCTCACAGCTGCTTCACACACTCACACAGAGCGCAGAACGACCGTCGACACGTAGCACAAACAATCGCTCGGCACTCGAGGTGCAGCGCTGCCCGTCACACAGAATTCTGTATAGGGTCTGGTCCTTCGCACGAGAACCCAGTCTTCAACGCGTTCCCAAAGTCGAGCGCACGGTGCGCAGCGACCTGGACGGTCTTGGGCTTCAGCCACACGGGTCAGGGACCCAGTTCAGCGGTCAACAGCTTCGTTACAAGCTTACAAGGTCAACCAATCCGGTATCCAACAGCGAGGTCCGTGCTGCATCTCAACAACAATGCATCCCCCTATTTATACTCCCGCCGTTCACTGCCACGGACCCCAAAGGGTTCTTGGCACTACTCCAATACCATGGCCCTTCCCTTGGGCCCAAAACAAAGAAAGATACCAACGTACTGCCATGGTCCGCCCCTTCACAACTTCAGAACCCATTCCCTTTTCTCACACAGCTGTCAATTACTCAAACAATATAAATAGGACCACCATTCAGCAATACTCTCTAAATTTGGTCCTTACACATCAATGCCCAGAATTCTCACATGTCCCTGTTCCTCCTTAACATCGCGTCACATAAATAATAGCCTTATTCATCAAACCACAGCCCGTATCCTTAAAATGCACATGACTACTATTGCAATGAACAATTATTCACGAATGCATCTCACAAACTCCAAACAACTTCCTAGTTTTGCTCCACGACTCAATGCACAGTCTGCCATCCATTCTCCACCTCCTCCTCTTGCTTCATGTAAACTTCCCCGATGTCAATGTAGTCATCTTCTGAGTCATTCGTTTCGTCATGCTCTGGCCCCAAGAAACCTTCATTTTGATGTATTGCCGATTCTTGCACGTCCGTCATCTCGACCCCGCCCCCCTCCGGGGCATCGCCCTCCTCTGCGCCTCCTGCTTCCGCCACTCCTAGCTCGCCTACCGCTCCGTCCTGTGGCAACAGCTCCGGGTCTTCTGCCGTATCAAGGAGGCCGGCCCTTGCGAGTTGGCGGAGCTCCCACTCATGGGAACCCCATGCTGCGACATCCTCGGCGGGCACCCAGCGCCATCCGGTGGTCACCTCCTCCACTGCGGAGCGCCCACGTCCGTACGCAAAGGCGCATAGCCCGCACCTGCCATCCGTGGTGCAGGTCGGGCAGGTTTCGTCTCCATAGAACTTAGGATCGTCTTCGTGTCACTGCCATGCATCTCCTAGCGCCCACGCCTCGAACCAATGGGCACTCCGCTCGGTTTCTCCGTCCTGAACCCGCTTGCTGACTTTTTCCTTATAAAGCGCCTTCCAATCAGCAGGCAGTTGAGTGCGCAAAGCCTCTCGCTCACTCGCCTGGGAATCCAGCTCCTCGTGAGCACTCAACCCGTCCGAAAACCAAGCCCCCTCGGTATAAACTTTGAGGGGCATCTCGCCGTTCACGCTGATCCAAACTTTCGTTTTGGATGCGGCCAGCATTTCCCATCGCAGCTCCCATGAGCGCAGAATGTAGCTCACCAGCATGCTTCCTGCGCCCTCAGCCATGAAGGTCGGCGGGCCCTCCAACTTCCAAGCAAAAGGGCGTGGCATCTTCGCTGCTCGATCACCCTCCGCGGCAAGCCAGGCGCATTCTCGGAGAGGTGACCAAAGGCCACAGTCCCCTTCGACCCTCGCCTGATGTTTTGGCGCAGGGCAAACGCCCACCTGGGCGTGGAGACGGCGGCCAGAACATATGCCTCCAATCGAAGGCACAATGGTCGCCCAGTTCGCCGCAAATGCCACCGCTAGGTATGTAGGAACGCCAGCCTTGCCCATGGGGACGGAAGTCCCTCTCCATTTGGCTTAGTCCACATAGCAGGCGCACCAACAAAGCCAGCCACGGCATTCTAAAGAGGACGCTGTTCCCATCAGCTTGGCACGTCCAAACGGGGCGTCCATTCCCCGGCGTTCGCACCCATGTCTTCCTCTCCGCCAAAGACAGCCATTTCAATGGATGCACAAGGTTGGTTCCAGCCCCTTTGTTTTCTGCCGCCGTTCGAAGGGTCTCGGGGTCCTGACTACCGCGCCATGCTCGGCCTGCTCGGGCTGTCCCGACAGAGCTCACGCACAAGCATAAACACCCGGGGCCTTCGGGGCCCAGCCCCGCGCCTCCCATACGGGATGCAGGGTCCCTTGGTGCGTCCCACAGTTCCCCAGTACATTGGGAACTATGGAATGCACGGGCAGAGGCAGATAGTCACACTGCATGAGTTGCAAGGAATTGTACGCCAAACAACTGTACCATTTTTCCTTCTGACGTCTCACTCTTTCACTACAACCACCATTCTCAATTATGGCTGATCGATGGTCCCAACTTGCACCGACTGGACACCAAACCACTGGAAATGGAGGTGTCCCATTTCACTCAAAAGACCCTCCATAATCCCAACGTGTTACTGCCATAATTCAAGCACTACTCATCAGGTCAGCGCGACGGGAACTTTACTGCACATTCCTCGCTTCTTGTCAGCTCCTAAAAACGGCCTAAAGTATAGATTTACACATGATGAGCCAATTTTCTAGTTTTGTCCAAGCGCCCATGACAACAACCCTTTGAAAACGTGGGGTCCAACAGTCACTTTGCAACTGCTTGGCTAATCCCAATGCGCTGGTTTTGAGAGCAGCGTGCATTCTAATGTAAACGATCATATATCATGGCCATATTGACGGCCTGATGGCAGCCACCATCACAACGCTAATTCTGGTCCATACCTTTCTCAATTTTTATCCAAATCAGTCTCAGTTTTTTCCATTCAACTCCTATCAATTAGCTGCACACTCTGACAGAGTTTTGGCAGCATAATATCCACATTCCCGACCAGTGTTTACCTAAAACTATTTCCCGACTGTCCGCTATTTCTGCAGCAAAACGTGCCATGTTTTGGCCAGATCTTTACAGTGTTTTCCCCAATTTTTGTGTTTTCACAACTCTGGCGGTCTCATAAATGCCCAATTTCATAGGGCAAGTGGTGCAAACTTTATTTCTGCCTCCGTATCTTATTTGCAAATTGATTTGGCCAGTGCCTTGAATTATAGCTGCATACTCCAACCCTGTCTTTCACTCTGCCTTTTTGTATGACGCCTTCTACATGCCTTGCCACTTTCTTAGATCGAAGCAAGTCTATCAGCATGCTTTTCTCGCTTTTCTAGCAATGCTGTGCGGTTGCCCATATCAATGCTGACTGGTCTATGGTGTTGTGACGCCCAATCAGTCGCCATGTGCTAGTCATGAGCCAGTCATTGGGTGACATGGCTTCTTGACTAACGGCAAATTTAACAAAATCCTAGTTGTGGTCCATGTCATCTCTGACTGGTCTATGTTGTTGTGGCATCCATTTAGTCGCCACATATTGGCCATGAGCCAATCGTTGGGTTACGTGGCTCAATGACTAACCGCAAATTTAGCACCTAGCCAACGATGCTGGACTTGTCGTGACAAGCGGCTGCTTGGTTCGAATATGTGCACAACAGGAGCCCCTCATTTGATCACGGCAGCGTGAATCAAGAGATGCCTGTATGACAAGACAAGTGGTGGAACCTACGACATCGACCTCGCTAAGTCCAGGCTCAAAAACGAGGCGTATGATTGGAATATGAAGAGCGTGAGGGGCGGCAAGCACACCTCCTTGTGGCTGGCTTCGGAGCTGTAAGACGACAAGCATCCCCCCCACGGGATGGAGGTCATCAGCTTCGGCCTCATCATGCACACATCGGTGAGAAGGTCGCCATTGTATGATGTGGCATGATGGTGCATGTGGCGGTGGGAATGAAGTTGAGTGGAGAGCCGTCCTGCCGCGTTGAAGTGCACCACCACCCAGAGGAGCTGGGTGAGCTGATGGGCAAGTGTTGTGCCATGGACGGTCAGTGCCACCATGACAGATATCGCCAAGTGCTTTTTGCGGAAGCCTGCGGACTGGGCAGCTGGTCAGCAAGATTTGAGAGCACAGTTTGGAAGCAGTTTCGTTTCAGCGTTAAGATGGAGGAGCATACTTCAGCTTGCATCAGTGGATGGCGCTTGGATGGCAGCTTTGTCCTGAACGAACTGCAAATTGGGCCATGCATGTACAGCATAGGAGCGTCCGCTTTGCGGATTTCTACCAGCCTGGGGCAAAAATTGTTTGTCTGAGGTGCTGAGCACGCTGACCGCATTTGCGGCTTGTCCGTGGCGAGCGGGAGCAGCAAGTCCTGGGTACTGTAGTTGTACTCTTTAGAACACGATGCATATTCTGGAATTGATAAATTTGTTCCCAGAACACTCGTTTTGTGTCAACCCGGCATCTGATTGTTGCAGGCAAGAACAGTCATTGTCACACCATATGTTGGTAAACCCCTCAATATATTGAGAGCTTGATGTGGCTTGCGAGCGGTGTAATGTGTATCAAGTTTCTTGTGTGCACAATCAGCGTTGCACAGTTTCGTTCAGCTAAGCATCGCGCTTGGATTCCGAGCTAGGCCATCCAGCCTCTCCTGTGCTTGAGGTGCCTCAAGACTCTCGACAGGGAACGATCTGCGGTGCCTGTCAGTCCACTGGGAAATTCGCAGTAGGCCAAGCTTTGCTCGCACCTTGCCAAGCGATACTGCTGCACTAAAGTCGTAACCTCAATTCCTGCTTCACCCACAGCTGCGCATTGCATTGCTGCATTCTCAGTTCACCTGGAAAAGTGCTTGGTGCCATTCCTAAACAGGGGTCACTGCGTTACACCCGCAGACCTGTAAGTCAGGTCCTGCACAGCGCAAAGGCTTCTAGAATGTTCTAACTCAGGACATGACATGTGTTATGACACGACTGCCCCTCACCAGGAATGGTAACCCGGAATCGTATCAATGGTGCAACGGCAGTGCATTGGCGTACTTCAGGAAACGCAACCCCATTGAATTGAGCCAAATTGAATTTGAATCCATTCACGAATCTGCGGACAATCAGCCCATGCACGCCAATGCTTCGCATATCTCGTCAATGGTGGGCCTGGTTTCTACATCGCACACGATGCACCTCTGCATCAGGTCCAGCATCTCTTGTGGGCACTGCCCTTCCTGCACCTCCGCGGGCTCCTTTCCCAACAGCTTGTCATGCATCACCGCCACCTCTACCGCCTTGGCGTCACGGCCCTGCACTCCGTACGGGTGCCGCCCTGTGATGACCTCGTACATCACCACCCCCAGGCTGAACACGTCCGACGCGAGCGTCAGTGGCTTCTTGATGTACACTTCAGGGGCCATCCACTCCAGCGTGCCCATTTCGCCACGCACTGTCTGGTTCACACTCTTGGTGCACTCCCCCGTCAGGCCAAAGTCCGTGACCTTCACAGTCCACGTGTCTGGATCGTTCCCGAAAATCAGGAAATTTGAGCTTTTAACGTCTCGGTGGATAAGCGGGGGGGAGCGCGAGTGCAGGTGCTTTAGACCCAGGGCTGCCTCGTGCAGGATGCGGCGCTTTGCGGGCCATGGCAGCTGCCCTTGCTGGCTCAGGGAGGTCAGGTCGCAGCTGGCCAGCTCCATGACCATCCTGCCAGACTTGGTGATTGCATAGAGCGGGGTGACGTGATCGAAGGTTAGGGATGCCTGGATGGAGGCCTCCTTGAAGAAGGCAGCAAAGTCCTCGAGGCTGAGCTCGCGGCGGACTGGCACGACGTCCTCGAGGCTGAGCTCATGGTCGAGCTGTGCGACGTCCTTGATGGCCACTGGCTTGCCCTGCCACTCTGCCTGGTACACCCTGCCGTAGCCGCCCTTAGCGATCTTCTCCCCGATCTGGAGCTCCTCGTCGTCGATCACCTGCAAAAGTTCACATGAAACTCTACTCTAAACTCAGCACTAAACACACCGCATCACAAAAGCAAAAGTATGGCACTGCACATGAATATACGAAACAATGTTTGACAAGTGCTGCAAACAATGTACCATAGGATACTCAACCCTTCCGCATCGGTCCATCTCGACCGTTACGTTTTTGCTCCGCATTTTCGTCCCGGACCGTTACGTTATTTTCTTTGTTGCTCCGCATCATGTCGCGCGGGCTCCGAGGGGGCTCTAGAGGCTGTATCCCAAGTTTCAGGGGCAACGGACCAGTCCCCAGCCTCCTACGTGCATGCACCGTGCGACACCAACCCCCCGGCTGTGGGGATCGATCGCGCCCCCCGCGAAGCTGGTCCGCGAATCCTGGTCCCTTGCCATGAACTTGTGCCCGCTGAATAAGCCCCCCGGCCCCCCTTGCCTCGTCCGTCCAGCTCACCCCTCTCCCCGTGCTCCTGGCCCCGGGCGGCTCCCAAGGCGGGGCCCCCGGGCGCCGCGCCCCCCCCCCCGGCCGGCCGTTGGTCAACGCGCGCGCGCCCGCCGACCTCCCCCACTCCCCGCCTGTGCCATTCCGTGTTGGCACCTTCGGCGTCAGCGCCCACGCTCCCCTGCGATCGCTTCCCCAGGTTCGACGCCCCAGCCGCCAGGATGGCAAGCAGCGGGCGCCTGCCTACCTGCCGATCGATCGTCCAGTGGCCTACCGGGTGCCGGGGCCAAGCCCGTCCCGAAGCCGCGCCGCGAGCGTTAATAAATTCGGCTGCTCCGCGTTTCCCTCTGGCACCGCTACTTTTTGTTCATCGACTCCGCAAAAAAGGGCCCAGCGTTTAGTTACGATGCGGAAGGGTTTAAAACACTACGGTATTGAGCATATTGAATGCACCAATATTGCGGAAATATTATAATTACACAGAAACATAGCAAAACTGTGTTGAGGGTGCTGTCTTTATTGCTGATCCTGTTGTTGAAATCCGGTTTGATTACATTAACCGAGCTCCGCGGCAACTGAGGCCATGTGGAGCCTGCTGATCCTGTTGAAATGACAATTTGGTTTCAGGGCTCGGGCCACACCAGCAGCTTAAGGGATGCAATATTTAGATGCCTCGCCTGCAGGCCCTTCAGCGCCTTCTCATGGTCAGCTTTCACCTCCTCCCAGTTCTGCCTCAGCTCTGGGGATAGAGTCTGGCCCTTGAGCACGTAGGCCAGGAGCATGTACATGTGCTGCTTGTCCCCATCCACCAGTTTTTGAGGTATGTAACGCTTCAGATCTGTGCTGGTCCCAGACGTTTTCACGCCCAACCTCCCAAGGCAGCCCAGGAGCGTGCGACAGATGTCTTGCACAGCTCGCCGAGCTTGCTCGATCCTGCGGAAATTTCAACAGGTTTTGCCACACCGGCAAGGACATGATGAACTACTGGCACCACGGCTACCAGGCGATGAAGAACATAACCCCATCCAGAATGTTCGCCCGGCATATTATTGACTTGCACGGCACTGGTGAAATGTCTGGCCCAGTGAAAATGACACTAAATGCATAGCCAGGATTGCACAGTTTGGTTCTTTAACACAGCTTACCCAACACACAAGAAACGGTTCTAATAGTTCAGCACTTTAAACAAGGATGACAAATGCACTCAATGAGCTAGTCTTGGCGAGCACTGAAGTTTGTTCATTTCACCTGTAGAACTTGTTGAGTTCAAAGTGCTGGTGCTTTTTCAGCAGCCTGTCACCCTTCTCAATCTCGTGGTCATACGTGTTCAATTGATCTGCAACTTGGTCAGCTGGCACTGCCAGATGGCCGGGGACACCAAGACGCTCCTTGATGGCCCTGGCCCTCGTCAGCTGCTCCTCCAGGAAACCCATCATGCCCTGGTTGTACGTCAGTACACTGGCCTGTGGCAGCTTCCCGTGCTGAACCTGTCACCATGGAAACAAGGAAAGAGCATTGACTGTAAAAAATTGTAAGTCAATTCAACATATCCAGCACCTCCTCAATGGTCCAATGCGCTCATCTCTTGAACATCCAGGTGCAAACACACCAGGTGGAGGACAGTCTGAAGGTAGGCCCTGTCCTCTAATGGGGTAGGGGTCATCAAAATGGGCCTGCAAAGCCGGATCGGCGATCGGCGTCGATCCCCATCGATCGTTGGTTTCTTTCCCCCCAAGACACTTTTGCTTGATATAGAAAATGGCAAGTGAGAGAACTTTTCTAGGGTTTTGAGCAGCTCGTCGGGGTTTTGGCACCTCGTCTTCCCTGATCAGTGCCTTTTTGAAAACTTGACTTCATCTGTGTAAAGATGTGGAAGCTGAGAATAAAGAATACTTTTCTTTGTCTTGGGGCCGAAGGAATGGTAATTGTGTGGCTCCAATCAACCAACAAATTTCGCAGCCTATATGCATGCTCCACAAATCTCCATTGCCCTTAATGTTGGCTCTGGTCAGGAGCGCGGTCACCATGTCAATCTGCTGACCTATCTCGCTGCTTGCCATGAATTCGCTTCACCAGTCTGTTTCATTCCACATCACTACACACCCCGCATCGACACCATGAAGAGAGGTCCTACAACTCAGAAGCTCAAAAAGTGTCTGAATGCAGGCAGATGCTTATGAATATTTGAGCATGCATTTCTGCCATCGCACTGGTGGAAGCAGTGTGTGTCTGACACCATGCGACCTGCCACTTGGCAAAGACATCAAGAAGTAAATCGATGTGACAAATCAAGTGGCTTTTCAGCCAAGTCCATGATGCTCTTTGGCATCTTTTCCAGGTATCAAGTGTCAGCTACATGGCTGCACATACACAACAGCTTCGAGCAATGTACTGCTTGTCTACTGAACAGGGTATTAGCTCATTACAACATGTGCCAAGGCAAGGGGTATAGAAAGCTGAAGATGACATTACTTACCTGCCAGTCGGCAAGACAAATATGTGCTGTATTCTGCAAAATTTTGCAATTTGTTCGAGTGTTTTTCATGCAGCTACAGCTGCAGTTGCCAGCATAATGCCTGGGTTTTAGGTGCAACAATAGAAGATTAGACACAACGGATGGAAGAAACAGGCACTTAGTTGAGTTGACGCTATTGTGAGCAATCCAGTTTTCACTGGTGGATTAGTGACTGAAACATGCTGTTGATGAACTAGATATTGTTAGTACATATTTGCAAGTACTTAACTCACATTAGATTACCACAGTATAGTAGTAACATACCAAGATTCATAGTCTGTCCATTTTCAATGGGCTTGAACCACTGCTTCACAACTTTCTGGCGATTCAATAGATTCAAGCCAAGCCCAGAAATCTGGCATCCAACTGTGCACAATACTGCAATGAAAAAAGCTGTCACCTTGCTGCCACTGTGCTCCCCAAACGTCCAATCATCGGGCAGCTGCCGGAGGCTGTTCTTGACCTCCTCCATCGTTGGCCTGGCCATTGGGTCAATGGCGCAGCATGACCTCATGAGCTCCAGCGCCGCCAGGGGACAGTCCCTGTCCTGCACCTGGCACGGCGGCTCCCCATCAAACTTCCTCTTCACGATCACACAGAGGTTGGATCCCTCCCCACCGTAAGCCTTCTGACCACTGACTACCTCATAGCACAGCACTCCGAATCCATACACATCTGACTTTGAAGTGGTGGGCTTGCTTTCGTAGACCTCAGGGGCAGCGTACTGCAGTGTGCCATCATTCATCCCCACTACCTTGGTGATCGTGGATGTTATCTCCATGACGTCCCGCCCAAAGTCGCTGATCTTGAGAGAACAAGTCTCAGGGTCGGTGCCGAATATGAGGAAGTTCTGCAGCTTGATGTCCTGGTGCATGCAACCCTTGGAGTGCAAGTAAGCCAGGGCCGTGCTTCCCTCACGTAGCAGCCTCACCTTGGACCTCCAGGGTAGTCCCTTGTTGGCAAAGCACAGTGTGCGCAGGTCACAGTTTGCCTTTTCCAGCACCATTCCCCCCGAGGTGGTGGCACCCAGGAGTTTGACAATTTGTGGATGGTCGTTCAGGCTGGCATGAAAGATGACCTCCTTGGAGAACTCGGCGAAATCCATAATGGGAAGTTCATGCCGCCCTGCCCTTGGGGTCCTCCAGACTGGCTTCTTTACTGCCACATCGATCGACTGCCACACTGCTGAATATGCTGCACCACAGCCCCCTTCACCTAGCCGCCGTCCAATCTGTAGCTCACCTTCATCGATGACCTGTGCAAAAGGCAAGGGAAGCTTGAGCAAACATTCTGAAGAAAAAATTGTGGATGGATCCATGGCCATCACCTTGAAGACTTGGACTATTTGGAGGCCTCAACGATGAGGCAGGCCGCTGTGCATAGGAGTGATGGCGATTGCTAGGACAAACAGTGGTCATGATGATCTTGTGCTGTTGGGAGGCAGCATAGCACTAAGTGGATGACGCACACAAGTGATGAAATTTCATCCCCATCACGTTGGAGTTCCGAGGGCAGTCGCCACTTCACAATGCTTCAGTCAGCACTTCAGCATTTTAGTCAGCAGTTGAATACCTTGTCAGCATCCTTCTGTGCCTTTGCACTTCAATCAGCACTGCAGTGTTTCATCCATCAGTACTGCATGGTAACTTCAATGTGGTTCAGTGTTTTGGTCAGACCTGAATGACAAATCACTTTTTGTTAATTCAGCAAAATGCAAATCGGTCTTCGCACCTTGACCTGCTTCATGCTCTCCACATGACAAGCCTTAACGTCCTTCCAGCGCTTCATCAATGTCTCCTCAATGCTACAAGGCACATCCTTTAGCACGAAGTTTAGACACTTGTGAAGGAGCTCCTGGTCATCTTCCACGTCACTCATCGGTATCTTGTCTTGCAAGCTCACCTCTCCCTGCAAACCCCACTCCTGCAGTGCATCCTTCAGATGCCTGCAGATCTCCTGCACAGCATGGCGGGCATCACTGGTCTTGCAGAAGTCCCTGATGTCAAAAGGGTCAGCATGTTTGTCCAACAGGCACTTGCCCTTCTCCAGCTCCTCCTCAAAGCTTGCCAGCTGCGGTGTGGCAGGTGCCTTGAAGCCCTCCAGCTTCTCCAGCTGAGCATCCAAGAAGCACATGATCTTCACATTGTACAATGCGTCTTGGCCCCTTGACCGTTCCTGTTCACAATGCCAAGCTGTCACTGCCTGCGCTGTGCTGTGATCAAACACAAGGCTCCCCTTTGTCTGTGAGACGATGTTGGGTGCAGTTCACAATCACAGCAGGTGTTCCCCCATGACCTGTTTTTCTTTCCCAATGCTATGACGTGCCACCCTCCCCCTTTCCAATCTACCTTTGGTTAACTGTTGTCTGCTTAGGATGAGTGATCATGATCGCCAGTCACTCGGGAACATCACCTCCTATCCGAAGTTGGGGTGTGGGCAATACTGAGTACCAATGTGAAGTGCCAGATCATGGTGATCCCCATGCCACAGATGTGCTTGGTGGCTGTCCTCCAATGCCATCCAGTTACTGCCAAAAGTGTGCTGCAACACATTGTTTCTGTGGGCATTGGCCAAGATCTGTGCCAGCACCCAAAGCACTCAGGAGGCCGTCCAGGCAACTTCAGGCCAGGATCTGGGGCAATCAAGGGTGACCAAAAATCAAATTCCAGTTTGACTGAGGTCTTGGTTAAAGTCCACCACCAAGGAGCTGCCCTCCTGGGGGGAAACCAAGGCCAGTGGCCCACAAGCCCGTTGAGATCCACTGTCCGATATGGAGGGCAGCAGATTCCTGTGGGTCATGCCCTGATGCCCCGGAGGGAGCCTCATCCGAATCACCCAACACATAGAACTCTGACCACCAGGATTCCCAGCCATATCCTTGTGTGACACACAGCCTTACCCCTGGCTGTGACAACGCGATAAGCAAGGCAAGCCTCATGGCAGGTCGGAGTTTGCTCAGGCAATTCGGCCATGCGCGATGGGGAGGGACCCGAGCTGCACCCCCCAGCCCCGGCCGCGATTGGAACAGGACAACACTGCCACCAATTCATCCATCGCCATGAAAGTGTCCCAAAAATCAGCATCCACATAAAATTGGAGTAAACTGTTGGAAAAAGTAAGCAGCCGGGCTGAGATGGCACCCATGTAGGCTGCTGAGACATTGCTGGCCAGAACGGCACCAACACCACTGTTCAGGTAAGCTATCTATTAGAATACAATGAAAATGCTCAATAAGCATTGTACGAATATACTGCATTGCAGCGTAAGTACGAATCCTAACAGCATGGTATATTTGCACAGGGGGTTAAACTGAAATTAACTCACAATCTTCAGCACTTCAATGTGATTCAATTAACATTGCCGACATACTATACTACAGCTTAGGTACCAAACCTATCACACCGGTCTAGTTTCAACAGGGGCTACACTGCAGTAAGCCCACAATTTCCAGCACTTCAGTGCGATTCAAACGTGGAAACATTGAATAGACCTGGAGTGGTGATTCAAACATGGAACTATTAAATAGTGCTCGGGTTGTACAAATTGACCTGACTCCTGCTGGTGCGCAGAGCATTGCTGTGAAAATTTCTCACCTTGCCAGCTGTGTGCTTCCCAAACACCCATTCCTCAGGCAGCTGCATCAGTGCGTTCTTGACCTGCTCCATCGTTGGCCTAGCCTCTGGAACAGAGTTGCAACACCTCCTCATGAGCTCCAGCGCTGCTGGGGGACAGTCCTCGTCTCGTACCTGGCATGGTGCCTCCCCAGCGAGCTTCTTCGTCATGATTGCAAAATGGTTGGCTCCCTCCCCACCGTAAGACTTCTGCTCGCTGATGACCTCATAGCACAGCACTCCGAATCTGTACACGTCTGACATGGAGCTGTTGGGCTTCCCTTCGTAGAACTCAGGGGGGGTGTACTGC